ACAGTATTTGAGTCTACTCTGAAACTGCACTCCCCCTGGAATTCTCCAATTCCTTTGAAAACATCCGAGAACTCACTTGTGATGTCCTGTGACATGGTGGGTTGCTCAGCTTTTATGTTTTCTGTTATTGCATTGACAACTTTTATTAGACCAAGAGCTTTGCATGCTTTGAAGCCTAATATTGGTGGACCATTGCAATCAACAACGTAGAAAGTCTGTTCGGATCTTTTGTCTTTATATCTGCTTGTCAGTTCACATTGTCCATTGACTTTGAGTGGGTGGCCCCCATAGCCAAACAGTTTCTCTTTGTCCTTCTTTAATGGTGTTTTTAGATATGGAAAAGCACTGAGAGGTATGATGTTTGCTTGTGCCCCCGTGTCTAACTTGAATGTTAGTTTTACCTTATTTGATCCCAGTAGTATGTCAGCGAATGCACTGTCTTCATTGTCGTCGCCAGCTGCTATAGTGTCTATGAACAGCTCTGAATCAAAATCATCAGCTTCTTGGACAGTGTGCACTTCTTTGTGCCCTGATTGTCTTTTGAAGTTCGGTTTTGACCTGCAAACTTTTGCATAGTGATTGAATTTTTTATATTTCAGACACTGCTTTCCCTTAGCTGGACAATCTGCACGTTTCTTGTGGAGTCCACCACACGCTGGGAAAGCTTTGCTTTGGTACCTTGTGTTTTCATTTGCTTTGTAGGTTCGCGCTGGGGTCGCTGGTTTCCCTCCTTTGCGACGTATAGCATGTACTTCATGGTAGTCCTTAGCCATGGCTTTCAGCTGTGATTTGGCTAGCTCATGGGCGCGGGCTATATCTGTGGCTTTGTCGAGTGTTAGCTCGAGTAGCTTTTCTCTAACATGTGGGGAGTTGGTTCCAAACACTATGCGGTCCCTGACCATTTCGTCGCTTTTGTCATAGCTACAGTCTTTAACAAGGAGTCTCAGATCTGTTACAAAATGTAACAGATCTCCCCCCCCCAACAGCAGAGGGGAAGAAACTGTTCTTGTGGCGGGAGGTTCTAGTCCTGATGGACCGCAGCCTCCTGCCTGAGGGGAGTGTTTGGAATAGTCCATGTGCAGGTGAGAGGGGTCGGCTGTTGATTGTTTGAAGGAAGTTCAGGAATGGATGCAAGAAAACTTTCTTAGTTTAAACAAAGGCAAAACAGAAATACTTACCTTTGGGACTTCTGACCCTCTCCTGAACAGTGTTATAGGACCTCTTATGGTTTATGAAAAGCCCTACGCCAGGAATCTGGGATTTATTATCGACAGCCATTTTAAATTTGACAAGCTGATAAATGCTGTTCTTAAAACAAGTTTTTATCATCTTTGAGTTCTTAGCTAAGTAAAATCTTATATTCCACATGCCCATTTTGAGAAGGCCATTCATGCTTTTATCACTTCCAGGCTTGATTATTGTAACTCCCTCTATGTCTGCATTGACCAGGCCCAGCTCAGCCTTTTGCAGAGAGTGCAAAACGCAGCAGCCCGTCTTTTAACAGGGGCAAAGCGCAGGGACCACATCACTCCTGTTCTGCGATCCCTGCACTGGCTCCCTCTATATTTTAGAATTCATTTTAAAATTCGTATTATCGTTTTTAAAAGTTTTAATAGAATGGCACCTTCTTATTTATATGAACTCCTCCAGCCCCACTTTCCCTCCAGAGCGCTGCGCTCTGCAGATCAGCACCTTCTTGTCGTCCCTAGGATCAGGCTGAAGACCAGAGGAGACAGAGCTTTTTCTGTTACAGAGCCAAAGTTGTGGAACTCTTTACCTTTGCACATTAGAACTGCACAATCACTCAAGCACTTTAAATCCCTGCTTAAGACGCATCTTTTTTCCTTGGCTTTTAATACCAAGCAGACAGAGACAAGTATTTTTTTATTTTTTTTTGTATATATATTTCTGTATTTTATGTGTTTTTATTTTTATCCACTTATTTTCCTCGCTGTCTGTTCAGCACTTTGGTAAGCCTAGGCTGTTTTAAATGTGCTCTACAAATAAAGATTTGATTGATACGACCAGTCCGGCCTCGAGCTCGGGCGACGTACATATCCTGCAGCGATGGAAGGCTGAGGGCCGATCACTTCCTCTGTAGAGGCAAGGCAAGGCAAGTTTATGTGTATAGCACAATTCATACACAAGGCAACTCAAAGTGCTGAACAAAACAAGAAAGCATTAAAATCATAAATAATCACAGAACATTAAAAAGAAAGATAAAAATATAAAATCCCTCAGCTGTATGCACAGCTAAACAGAACTGTTTTGAACCTGGTTTTAAACAGTAGTCTCTGTTTGTCCCTGACTGTGGCTCCAGCGAACCACACAGTGATGGAGGAGGTGAGGATGGACTCGATGATGGCCGTGTAGAACTGCACCAACATCTGTGCAGGCAGCTTGGCTTTCCTGAGCTGCCGCAAGAAGTACATCCTCTGCTGGGCCTTCTTGATGAGGGAGCTGATGGTCGGCTCCCACTTGAGGTCCTGGGTGATGGTGGTGCCCAGGAAACGGAAGGACTTCACAGAGGTGATGGGGGAGTTCATCACGGAGGGTGGGGGCGGGGGGACAGTGCTCTTCCTGAAGTCCACAATCATCTCCACTGTCTTCTGGGCATTCAGCTCCAGGTTGTTACCACTGCACCAGGACACCAGCCGGTGTTCCTTATTAGGCATTTTCTTAAAAAATAAATTAGTGAAATACATTTTAGCGAAATAGAGACTCCATAAGTTGCCCACTTGATGTGAGCAGTTGCCACTACTGTACACGCCACAGAAAAAGAGAATTTTGACTCAGAATGAGTGCATTTTAACGTGTTCTTAATGGGGAGATTTACTTCCTGTCCCTCGGAGCACTCTCGCGCTGCTGTGTGACGTCGGGTGCAACCCAGCAATAAAGATGTGAACTGTCAGTTTTAAGAGACTTAGTCAACGGAATATTAGCCTCGATTAGCATAACAGCTACTGTTACCCGCGATCGCTAGCGTTAGCGCGCTAGTATCATTTTTAATTGTATAATACAACTTGCAGTGATACAAAACCCAACCAGATAAACACTTTTAAATGATGTGTTATTTCTGACTGTTCCATCGAATGTTTTTTTTGTTCAACATTGGGCTAAATATATGTTCTATTCTTTTCAGAAACTGATATGGAAAATTACAATTATCTCTCCTCCCTTCTCCTCTCTCTCAGATCTCTCAAGATGAATCCTTGACCCCTCACTGATCACTCTTAGATTCAGAACTCCTCGTGCTGTTGTTTAAACCTGTTTTTATAAAAGTGAAAAGTCTAAAGTTTTTCTCGGGATGAGCACCTCCGACTGCCGGCCCAATGTGGCTGTCAGAGGGGGGCAGGGTCAGGGAGGGGGTGAGTCGGAAACACAATCAGGAGTGGAGGGGAGGGAGGGAGCAAGATGGATAGGTAGAGGGAGGCGGGGGAGCGGGATCCTGAAATAGTGTGAGTTGTTGTAGATGGGGACCTTGTTGGCCGAGGAATGTGAGATAAGAGTGGAGAGAAGACACAGCAGGAGAAAAACACATTCGCCTGAGAGGGACAATATTGTATGCAATGTAGCAGTCAATAGCAGGCAGATATTCTATTAAATCCAATTAAACCGAATTGCGGCGCCCTCAGACCTCCGTACACAGGGGCAAATCCAAGCCGGGTCAGAGAGGTCAAGCCTGACACACGATGTCATTCAATCTCAGCTCCAAGGTTTTATTCCCTTTGAGTGAACGAGCTGCAAGGTCTTTTATCAACTGTTCAACTCTTTGTCCAGACACGGCACTCTCAACCACGACGCGGCTTAGCTCCTTGTACATCCCATCAATTTTGTTGGCCAGCAGCTCGTGAATCTTGCGAACTGCCATGCCTCCGAATTTGCGGTAGAAGAGGACCGCTCCAAACCCAAAAGGGAGGATCCCCACCACCAAAATGCCAAAGATATATACGTCTTCCGAATCTTCAATAGACAGGGTCGACAGACAGAGGGGCTGAAACTTAGCGCCTCATCCTGTCGCTATGGGAGAGACCAGGGAGAAACCAGAGAGAGAGAGACCAGAGGGAGAGACCAGAGAGAGAGAGACCAGAGGGAGAGACCAGAGAAAGAGACCAGAGGGAGAGACCAGAGAAAGAGACCAGAGGGAGAGACCAGAGAGAGAGACCAGAGGGAGAGACCAGAGAGATAGAGACCAGAGAGATAGAGAGATAGAGACCAGAGGGAGAGTGGGAGACTAGAGGGAGAGAGTCTGGCTGAGGCTCGGGGCCGTACTAACAGATGCATCTATCACAGGTTTGTGAACATTGGAGGAAACAGATCTAATTCAAACAGACGTTTATTTAAACCTGGGTCCATAAATAAACCATGTTTGAAACTATTTTTATTAAAGATAAAACTGGACGATGGTCTCAGTCTGTGACAATACCAGAGAAAGTAAATGTTTGAACTAAGACCAGAGACGACAACAGGAATAAACAGCTCAGTATCAACATCTGTGACTCATAAACAGGAAGTATTTTATTCAATGTGTTTAGATGTTTTTGATGTTTTGACACTTTGATATAAAAATATACAATTTCATGATTAAATATAGAATTTGTTAAATGGTGACACAACAATGAATATCTACTGCATATATTATATGTAAACATCTATCTATATGTAGAAATACATATCTGGAACAAAAGCCTGTAACCGTGGAAACTTGGGTATATATATACAGTCTTGCATAGTCCCAGGTTTCCATGGTAACAGGCTTTTTTTGTTCCAGAACCCATTACGACATTGTGGTTGCCATGGTTTCCTTTGTAAGACACCGTCAGCGATGACATCACAAAGTTCCAAAGCTTTGAGATATTTGTCTCTGAGTGTGGAGATACCGGCTCAGACCAGAAGCAAGTTTAGGGAGACCTCATAGTCTTTGACTTTAGAGCAACTGAGACACAAACGGCTTTAGACGGATAATATTAGATTAGATTGGTCTTCATTTAGTCTTTAAAATGGAGAATATTGGCCTCTTTGAGACGGGGGAGGGTCCTGAACAGGGGGATAATGCCCCCAGTGACACAGTCTCATTGGACCAACTGGCCTTAAACCTGTTCAGTCAGCTGCAGGACTTTGAGGAGGACCTATTCCACTGGGGACACCCACCAGAGCTTCGGCAACTCCCTCAACATGAGGCTGCCCACAGCGGCGGAGACATTCAGCTGCAAACTGTGGATCAAGAGGATGTTTCTGCTCAGCAGATTCAAGCTGAAGACCTGCATGCAGAGGGCGAGGCTGCGTGCAGAAGTCTGGATCAGCCAATCAGTGAGCCGGAAGTCCTCAGAGAGAGACATGAGGCGTTTCAGCATCAACTGAAGGAGTTTGAAAACATGAAGGAAGAGAACTCTTGTTTGGTCCAAACAAACCAACGCCTGGAACTGGAGCTGCAACAACTCACAGAGAAGTCTCAGCAGAGTCAGAATGAGCAGACGGAGGCGTACAGACGTCTGCGAGATCTGCAGCTCTCACAAGAGAAAGACTAACAGCAGAAGTGTGAGGAGCTCCAGAGACTTCAGCAGAGGCTAGAAGAACAAGAGAAACTTCAGCAGAAGTTAGAGCAAGGGAAACTTCAGCAGAGGTTGGAGGAGCAAGAAAGACTTTGCCAAAGTTTAGAGCAACAGATTAGTGAGAGGGAAAGTGAAAGAACCAACGTAGATTTGCTGGAGCAGAAACTGGAAGAGTTTGAAGGCCTGAAGCAGGACTACTGTGGCCTGGTCACAAATTGCCAAAGTCTACAAACAGATCTAGAACAGACCAAGGACAAGCTGCTGCAGAGTGAGTTTGTACGTCAGGACCTGCTTCTCTCACACAAGAAAGCCCTGAAGGAGCATCGTGAGCAGCTGCAGCGAGTGAAGCAGCATATGGAAGAACAAAAAGAAGCTCACTCATGTTCAGAACAGCAGGATAGTGAGAGGGACATCCAAAACAGGAAGATAGAGGCGCTGACACGGGAGCTAGAGGACTTTGAAGAGGTGAAGGGGGAGTACTCTCGGTTGGTCAGTTACTGTAAAAGTTTAGGAAAAGATCTGGAAGAGGCCAAAAGATGCATCAACCAGCTCTCCCAAGAGCCACTGTTGGAGAAGGAGAGTTTACAGCAAAAAGCAAACAACAAAAGTTCAGAGAGAGAGATGCTAGAGAGGCTCAAACGTGAACTAGAGGACTTTGAAGACGTGAAGGGGGAGTACTCTCGGTTGGTCAGTTTGTGTAAACGTTTAGAGAAAGATCTAGAAGACGCAAACAGATGCAGCAACCAACTCTGCCAAGAGCTAGTGTTGGAGAAGGAGTGTTCGCAGCAGGTGGCAGTCCACAAAAGTTCAGAGAGAGAGATGAGGGAGAGGATAGAGAGGCTCAAAAGTGAACTAGAGGACTTTGAAGAGGTGAAGGGGGAGTACTCTCAGTTGGTCAGTTATTGTAAACGTTTAGAGAAGGATTTGGAAGATGCCAAAAGATGCATCAACTCAAACCAACTCCCCACAGACCTACTGTCGGAGAAGGAGAGTTTAAAGCAGGTGGCGGTCGACAAAAGTTCAGAGAAAGAGATGATAGAGAGGCTCAAACAAAAACTAGAGGACTTTGAAGACGTGAAGAGGGAGTACTCTCGGTTGGTCAGTTTGTGTAAACGTTTAGAGAAAGATATGGAAGAGGCCAAGAAGAACTCTCTGGTGGTAGTAGCAGAGCCAGTCAGTGAAGCAGAAACTTGTGTAGACACCAGAGAGAGTGTTTCAGAAGAGAAGGTGCAGTCACGACCTTCGGACCAACACCAACAAAGTTGTGTCAAAAAAACCTTAAACGTTTTTGGGCAGCAGTCAAGTAGAGAGCGACCCACACCTAAAAACTCCCAACATGAATGTGAGGAGCTCAGAGGGCTCAACGGAAGTGTAAATAATCTGACACAATTCTTTAGTCCAGAAAATAAAACCGAGGAGGAGAAACAGGCGCAGGGCTCAGACCTGAACAGGACTTCAGCAAAACGAGGAGAGAAAGTTGCAGCTTTAAGGAAGATGTTTGAGTCTTAAGAAACATGTCGGAGTTTCAGGTCTCAGACCTGGTTCCAGTGCAAGGGAACAGGTCTGAGACCTGGTTCAGGTGCAGAGGGGCAGGGCAGTGATGGGAGACCTGGAGGACTGGTCTAGTGTCAGTGTTCAGAAGGTGCAGGCAGCAGACCAAACTGAGTTTATTCAGGTGTTTGTGTTTTAGGAGGAGAGTCCAACAGCTTCTGTTTGCTACAGATGTATTTGTTTTGGGATGTCTGCCGTACGGTGGAAGATCCAGACAGAGCAAAAGCATCAGCAAGACACGAAGAGGAAGGACTCTCAGCCTGAAATCCACCTCACAAACTCCAGAGCAGACTACACCAGTTTAGTGGGCTATTTGTAGTTGTATGTTTTTAGGAAGAGAGTCCAACAGCAGCGACTCTCAGTCTCTAAATCTACAACTTAAACACAGCTTGAACAACGACACTCAGCCGTCCTCTTCATGGCCTCCCTCCTGTCCCTGACACTCTGAGACCTGAACCCAACAACAAAACTTACGCGACTACACTTGGAAGAAGGAGAACATTACAGCGTTCAAAAAATAAATTAAAAAATAAATTAAAAAAGTGTTTTATTTATCAAGCACCTTTCACAGACCAGATTCACACAGAACTTTGTTGTGGGCATTTCACTCACACACATGAAATTGGATGAGCTTTTTCAGTATGAAAAGTGAAAAGGTGAGATCAGAAAGAGACCATAGAGAGACCAGAGATGTGAGAGAGAGACCAGAGAGAGGGAGAGACTTGGAGAGAGGGAGAGAGAGATCAGCGAGACCTTTTCTTTTAGATAGAAACGTGACAAAGAGAGGACAAATTTGTGGTCTGATTTTGTTCTCATTTTACTGTAAGACCCTTTCTGTTTCTGACAAACTACATGTGTCATTGATGAAACAAGTTAGGTACCCCAGCTTTAATAATTAGACATTTCTCAGGGACAGTTATTACCGTCTTATAATGTTTCAAATGTTTTTCTGATTGGCTGTTTTCTATTTGGCCGCAGTTCAGACACTAGGAGACTATGAGATTGATGAATCCAGGGCGCCACCTGCTGGAGACAGGGGCTCAGTGCGTCAACTGCGTCTGAAGTGAAAATATTGAACATATTTCCTCTTTCTTCGTGATTTCAAATACACGCGGTGCTTTCTCTGTGTTGCTTTATCCTTCAACCTGATCCTGAGAAATTCACTTTACGTTTGATGTTTTACAAAGTGAAGTAGAAACACAAACAAGTAGATACTAAAACACTGATAAACAAGTGATGTGTTTAACTGAGGCACAAATAATCAGGTCCTGTTTCCACCTCTCTCCCCTCCTTCCCTTTCTATCTTTCGCTCCCCTTTCTCCCCTCCTCTCTTTCTGGTCTCACTCTTTGAACCATCTCTCTGGTCTCTCACTCTCTCTTTGTTCTCTCTCTGGTCCCTCACTCTCTCGTTGGTCTCTCTCTTGTCTCTCAGTGGGATGAGTTCAGTGAAGCCTGGTCTCTCTCTAGTCGCACTACAATAAGTGTTTGTAATATTAGTCATTAAACAAATGTAAAATGAACCTAAATGGATCCAGACCTAAAAGTGAGAAGCAAAAATACTAGAGTAATTCCTCAAACAATCTTTCCTCCTTCAAAAGCAGCACAACATTAGATTTGATGATTTTTATTCTGTGCAGACCTGAGACCAGCTGAAGGCCTCACAATTTTATATTAAACCAGCGAGAAATAAACATGACACAAAAAACACATCCCCAGGATCAAAGTGTGTTGCAAAAGTATTCATACACCTGGAACTCGAGCACAGCCACAAACGGAAATATTTTATTCCTAACATTAATATGAAAGACCACAACAAAAAGTATTCTGTATTTGTATTTGCCTCCATCCACCTTCACATCAACTCTGACACTCTTCCCTATCCCTGCAGAAGAAAAGCAGCCCCACACACAGCATAACCCCCCCTCCCATAATTGCACTGCAGGAGATGGGCAGTCTTAGCTTAGAGCCATATATGGGAGTATTAAGGTCTCTACTGGTGTGTGTGAGAGGGGAGTCTGGGCGCCTCTGCTCAGACTGCTGCCACTGCCCCCCGGCAACAGATAAAGCGGAAGAAAATGGCTGGATATTGGTGTATTAATACTTCTGCAAGGCTCGGTACAATCATCTCTGCAGCTGAAACATGCAAAACCCACACATTTATCAGAATTCATTTACTACAGAAACCAAAACTGCCAAAACAGACTTTTACCGCTGTGTGTTTGAGACGAGTCGTGTGCGAGATTCTGCTCCGTACCAGAGATTCTTCATGATTTGATTTGATTAAAAAAGAGGAAACCAACATCCGATATTTCACACTGTTTTAGAGCAGCGTCTATAGTCTATAAATATTAACAATAAAACTCATGAGTCTTGTTCGGGCTTAGTGACACTTAGTTTTCATTTCTAAAAGTTCTCCTATCTCTCTCTCAGGTCTGTCTATGGTCTCACTCTCTCAGGTCTCTTTCTCTCTGGTCTCTCTCGGGTCTCTCTCAGGGCCCTGGTCTCTCCCTGGTCTCTCTCTCTGGTCTCTCTCTCTGGTCTCTCTCTCTGGTCTCTCTCTCTGGTCTCTCTCTCTGGTCTCTCTCTCTGGTCTCTCTCTCTGGTCTCTCTCTCTGGTCTCACACACACTGCATCCAAACTAAACTTGAACTTTTGACTCTGGCCTTTTATATAAAAACACACACATTACAATCTCTAGAAAACATACAATATTTCTACATTTCAACAATTTCTCAACAGTTAAACCAGTAACTGTTGTGTTCAAAGAGTCTGTTTGTGTCGCGTGAGTTCCTTCCAAACGAAAACAAAGTTATTTCCTTCTGCTTCGCTGCGTCCGCTCAGCTGTCGCTTCAGAGCAGAGTTACAGACAAAAAGCAGAAGTCTGAGTCCGATTCCGCACGATTCCAACTGTGGCCTCGAGGAACCTCAGGGGGAGGGAGGAGGAGGGATAAGTCTGGAGGGTTTCAGCAGAGGAAAGGAGAGGAGAGAGAGGGGAGGAGAGGAGAGGAGAGGAGAGAGAGGGGAGAGGAGAGGCGAGGAGAGAGAGGGGAGGAGAGGAGAGGAGAGGAGAGAGAGGGGAGGAGAGGAGAGGAGAGGAGAGAGAGGGGAGGAGAGGAGAGGAGAGGAGAGGAGAGAGAGGGGAGGAGAGGAGAGAGAGGGGAGGAGAGGAGAGGAAAGGAGAGGAGAGAGAGGGTAGGGGAGGAGAGGAGAGGAGAGGAGAGGAGAGGAGAGGGTAGAGGAGGAGAGGAGAGGAGAGGAGAGGAGAGGAGAGGAGAGGAGAGGAGGAGAGAGAGGAGAGGAGCGCACAGCAATTGGAGACAGACATGTTTGTGTATTGTATTAATGCAGGAAACTCCTCCACAGCTCTGTATGTGACATCACAGACCGGCTGAACTTTAGACTCGACACAGACCGTTCTGTGAGGGGAGACTGTGCTAAAACCATAGACTGTATATATTAACGGACGTAGTCACGCCTATCTCCGCCGTTCTAACTAATGTGCCAAAAATTGGGCTTTCATGGAGTGATTCAAAATGGCCGCGGGGGCTGGAAAATGTGAAAAAACGAATCTGCGCATGCGTCAGCTGCACGAGCCCATTCATTTAAACGAATGACTTCAAAAATTCACAGCGAGTAAAACCAGAGTGGTCCAGAACACCCCCCTCAGCATTGACACACATGTGGGACGGAGCTTTGGGCCAAGAGCCACTTTTGGTCCATCCTGTAAAGACGTTTTCGAGAGGTCAGAAGATGCTATATGTTAGCATTGGCTAATTCTTATTCTGGGTCCGCCCCCATCGGCCCGGGGTGGTATTGCAGCATGTCAGCGCACGTCATTTTGGCCACTTTTGAGCCGGGACCCGCCCCCACTGGCTAAAACTGTCTTTAAAAAAAAGAAAAAAAAACTCAAATTGACACGGAGTGGATGTTGCTTTGAGGTAAACTCAGGCTCAACTTCGGACTGAGATCACTCTGTGTTTCTGGTCGCGCTGTTGTCGTGTTAGCATTAGCATTGTTAGCATCGTTAGCCTCGTTAGCTTGGCTGCTGGTGTCCTGGAAGTCCACCCGGCGGTAGACAAAGTGGAAAGTGTCCGGTGCGTCGCGGGTGTGCAGCTCAGCCTTGATCCTCTGCGTGTGGGAGTCGGGGGTGAGCTGCTGGCTGCTGCCCCCGGTGGTGAGGAATAGTCGGTACTGTTCCGGTTCCCTCACGCAGAACTTGAGCGCGCACAGAGAGCACACCTCCTCCACCGTCGCCTGCGGATGCACACGCAGGGTCTTAGCCGTGCAGCCGCTGTCCTGCTCCTGCAGCGCCACCCGCAGGAAGTTCTGAGGGAAGACACAGGAAGGAGAAGGTTAAGATTAGGTTTTAATGTGACGAGAGAGAGCAGAGACAGGAGAGAGAGTAGAGAGAGAGCAGAGAAAGGAGAGAGATACTGTAGTAGAGAGCAGAGAGAGGAGAGACCAAAGAAAGAGTAAAGAGCAGAGAGAGGAGGAAAATTTACCAAAACTAATTCATGTGCAGTACTTTTGTTGTAAGAAGCAGTTTCCTGTGTGATGTTATATTGGAGCTTTCAGACAAAGGGGGTGGAGCTAAATGAGAGTGCCTGTTCCTGATATTAGCATGGATGATTCTAAACACAGCTGCAAGTCTGTGGCTGAGGAGTAGTACCTGGAAGTCGTCTATAGAGGGCGCTGTCCGCTGCATGGTGCGGCGCCGGTGCCACTGGTGCAGCGTGTCCCGGGTCTGAGAGCTCAGCACCCGCGCCGCCTGCTCCTCCTCCAGGTTCTTTATCAGAGACATGGCTCCGAACGCACTGGTCAGGTAGTATCCTCCTGCAGAGGAGGAGAGAGGAGGTGAGTGAGGGGAGAGAGGGGAGAGGGGAGAGAGTAGAGAGGAGGTTAGAGGAGAGAGAGAGAGGAGAGAGAGAGGAGGTGAGAGGGAAGAGAAAGAGAGGAGAAAGAGAGATGAGGAGAGAAACCAGAGACGAAGACCAGAGTTTTTCATCCATGTGGAGCAATAGAAACAGTCCAAACTCTGGCAGTGAGCGCTTCATTCACTCAGACCCAGCTCCACGGCTCGTGTGGAGGCAGTACCTTCTCCGTTGAGCAGAGTGGGCTCCAGCAGCTCCATCATGTACAGGACCTCAGCCTCCATCTGCGGCAACTCACACTGAGCCAAGACATACGTGAGCATCGGGAGGAAGTCATCTGCCCCAAACAACCGACCTACACACAGAGACACAGACACACACACACACACAGAGAGAGACACACACACACACACACACAGAGACACAGACACACACACACGTTAGATCAGAAGTCATTCTAGAGACCAGAGAAAGAAGAAACCAAAAAGAGAGACTTGAGAGAGAGAGATAGTTGTTCCAGTGACAATCCTTAAAATAAACTCAAAGAGACAGTTTCACATGTTCGCGTGATGTTTTTATTAGTGATGGCAATATGAAGCCCCATGAAGCCTTGAGGGATCGCAGCCTATTACTCGGCCCATGAGTCGAAGGCTCGAGGTGAATCATGCTCCACTACGCCATCATGTGGACAAAAAAATACATAACACTCTTAAGTGCTTACAATGAATGGTGAGATCTAATGTTAAAATGTATATTTACAATATATGGTCTAACGTGTTGTGTTTGAAATGATGCTTCATGAACTATGAACTATTTGAGTCTTTCAGTCAATTGTGTTGATACAACAAACACATCCAAAGTAATACAGTTCTACAGAAAGTGATTAATGGAGAAAAAACTACCAAGAGGTGGATTAATTAAACACAACAAACTATTTATTCCCAATAAATAAATACATTTACTTTGCAACACAAAATGTATTATGGGTAGACCAGGATTCGAACGCTATATCTTCTGCTTCGGAGTCCGTCATATACCGACTGCGCCACACAGCTGTTGTGAAATGTATTATCCAGCGTATTATTACTAATAACTTGAAGCCTTGATATTTGAGGTTTTACTGAAGTGAAACGTTTTTAATTGTATTTCATATGAAGTAGTTTCTCTATACTTAGTACAGGACTGCTCCACATCACGCACACACACGTACGCACACAGAGGCAGACGGGGACAGCCAATACAGTCTATGGTACAGCCGCGGATCACAAAGCACCTGTCAAAGCAATGCACTCTCCGAACTATATGAAGCACTATATGAACCATCACGTGGTGCGGCCGCTACGCGAGGCTTCGAACGTCACCACATACGTCACCAACACACGCCTCGAACCACGCTTCAAAAAATACGCCCCTTTTTTACTCGGTACACGCTTCGAAGACCCGGCACGCTCAGCACATCACTAGTTTTTATTACTTTCCATGTTGTTTCATCATGATTGTGAGGACGAAAAATGACATGAAATCTGTATTTCCTGAATTCTCCCTGTGTGGTAATGCTCTAAATGTCAGTGAGGAGGTAAAGTACCTTGGGCATTAGTGACCTCACAGACGACCGGGATATACAGAGACAGATGTGAACTGTATGGCCAATCCAACACGCTGGTCAGGAGGTTTAACATGTGCTCTGTGAGGGTTAAAACCTGCCTGTTCCAATCTTACTGTGCTCCCTTATTCCCAGCCCAACTATGGCGGAGCTATAAGCAGCCAGTCTGCAGGAGTTAACTGTTGCCTATAATGACTCGATGAGGAGGATGCTGCTGAAGATCCCAGACAGTCGTCCAGTCAGGTGTTTGCTGAGTGCCGGGTGCGCTCCTTTCCTGTGTCACTGCTGCTATGGGCTCATGTAGAGTCATGATGGAGCCTAATGCTATTGTACAGACCCGGGTTTGTCCTTACATTAGCTCAGTCAGGTTCACTTCTATGCTTTGGAGTCACTGGCTTCTCTGTATGTGTGACTTGCTGTAAATATGTGATTACTACGTGTGTGTTTTTTTAACACTGCTTTTGTTTTTTTTACTTTTCTTTCATTATTCTTAGCTTTGGATCCTGTGCTTGCATGTGAGTCCTTAATAAAGTCTAAATAAAATAAAACACATTTTGTCACTATGTCTCTCCCATCATGTTTAATGTAGCGGCTCTTATATAAACTTGATCTGAAGCTGTCACTGGTGTCTGAGCTCGGTCCGGTTCCACCACATTCTGATCGATCGTGTGAGGTTTGTTTCTGCGTCAGTTTCTCGCAAAGATCAGAATCAGGGTACGACTCCGAGCGGTTACTGTCAATGATGAAAGACTGAAGCCCTTTCTGCAATTATCCAATCAACATGTTTCTGTTTGAGTGACAGCTGCGTCATCCAGGACTCTATACAGTGCTTTGCAAAAGTATTTATACACCTTGGACTTTTGCATATTTTGTCTTGTTTACCGTGACAGGAGGCCTTTGACATTTTTTAAAGGCTTTTATGATCTCAGAAAAACATTGCATGAATACTTGTGCAGGCCCAACTCTCATTTCTCTCTGTTTTAAATGATACTGGATGAAAGAAATGGAGAAGACTCTGCACAGCTTTGGCTCCCAAGTGATTTTAATTATCACCAAAAACTGTTGTGACGTTTCGGGTTACTACCCTTCATCAGACATTAAGAACTCTACAGATCATTTCACTGCAGGTCCATCAGCTGCAGTGTGTTTATGTGAACAGCAGACACTGCTCTTGTTGATTTCTTCTACGTTTTTAGCTTGTTATAAGAATGGACTTCATGTCTGGTTCACACATGTGGTTTTACTGCAAAAGGAAAATAAACTGAACCTGGTCTCTCTCTGGTCTCTCTCTGGCCTCTCTCTGGTCTCTCTCTGGTCTCTCTCTGGCCTCTCTCTGGCCTCTCTCTGGTCTCTCTCTGGTCTCTCTCTGGTCTCTCTCTGGTCTCTCTCTGGTCTCTCTCTGGTCTCTCTCTGGTCTCTCTCTGGTCTCTCTCTGGTCTCTCTCTGGTCTCTCTCTGGTCTCTCTCTGGTCCCTCTCTGGTCCCTCTCTGGTCTCTCTCTGGTCTCTGTCTGGTCTCTCTCTGGTCTCTCTCTGGTCTCTCTCTGGTCTCTCTCTGGTCTCTCTCTGGCCTCTCCCCCAAGTCTCTCTCTGGTCCCTCTCTGGTCCCTCTCTGGTCCCTCTCTGGTCCCTCTCTGGTCCCTCTCTGGTCTCTCTCTGGTCTCTCTCTGGTCTCTCTCTGGTCTCTCTCTGGTCTCTCCCTGGTCTCTCTCTGGTCCCTCTCTGGTCTCTCTCTGGTCTCTGTCTGGTCTCTCTCTGGTCTCTCTCTGGTCTCTCTCTGGTCTCTCTCTGGCCTCTCCCCCAAGTCTCTCTCTGGTCTCTCTCTGGTCTCTCTCTGGCCTCTCCCCCAAGTCTCTCTCTGGTCTATCTTTGGTCTAGCCCACGGCGCTCTCTCTCGGTCTCCCCCTGGTCTCACTCCCTGGTCTCTCTCTGGTACTGAGAATGGTACCTGAGTGGTCCTCCATGATGGTGTAGATTTGCTTGCAGACTTGCAGCAGGCGGTGGACCTTCTTCTCGGGGGAGTAGAGTTTGCACATGGCCTGGATCTTGTGGCGGATCTTGTCGATGGCCAGAGGGTCCGGGGACAGGGCGTCTGTGACTCCCATCTCCGCGGGGGGCCTGTTTTTGGCAGCAGCCATGTTGTCTTTGAGCTGGGACCATGCGCCGCTGCGGACCATAGACTGGTGCAGGCAGGACGACAGCACAGGCTTCAGAGGCTTCAGGACACACTTATGCATCGCCTTCTCCAACACCAGGTCTGAAGAGAGAGACAACCACACACACCAAAACACACAAACACAGACACACAAACATAGCCGCACATAGATACAGTTCAGCTCCAGTATCAATCTATAGAGAGAGAACAGAGAGAGAAACCAGAGGGTGATCAGGAAGAGACCAGAGAAGGGGAGACCAGAGAGAGAGAGACCAGGGACAGACCAGAGAAAAGGAGAGATAAGAGAGAGACCAGGGAGAAACCAGAGAAAGAGAGAGACCAGGGAAAGGGAGAGACCAGGGAGAGACCAGGGAGAGACCAGGGAGAGACCAGGGAAAGGGAGAGACCAAAGAGAGAGAGAGACCAGGGGAGGACCAGCGAAAAGGAGAGACCAGAGAGAGAGAGACCAGGGGGAGACCAGAGAGGGAGAGACCGGGGGGGGGGGGGACCAGAGATAAGAGTGCACAAAACTTGCCAACATGGGAAACTTAAAGCTACAGTTGTGATTAAAACTTTGAAATGAGGAAGTGCTTTGCTCCCTCACTCGTTCAGTGACATTTCTGTTTCTGTCGGTAAAGAGACAATGTTTACTTGTTTTGATCAAGATTTAATCTCAAGATAAAAACACATGGTTTTATGGAGCAAGCAAATAATGGGAAGAGGACTTGAGTCAGCAAACAGGAGAGACCAGACAGATACCAGAGAGAGAGCGAAACCAGAGAGAGACCAGAGAGAGAGTAGAGAGTGACCAGAGAGAGACCAGAGAGACCAGAAAGGACCAGAGAGAGACCAGAGAGGGACCAGAGAGGGACCAAAGAGAGACCAGAGAAAGAACAGAGAGAGACAGAGAGAGGTTTGGGGTTTGGTTCAGTCCATGTAATGACCTTTGACCTGTGACCTCCAGAAGTGATGTCACACATTTACTCTGTGATTAGAGAGGAAGTCGTTCATACAGACAGACGAGACCCTGACCACGACCAGAGAGGGACTAGAGAGAGACCAGTGAGAGGGACCAGAGAGGGACCAGAGTTAGACTGTGGTTAATTTGACTTGTTACGAGGCTTCAGAATATGCCCAGTTCCGGTCTTGTGGATCCATCTCTCTCTGGTGCTGCACCCAGACCAGTTCTACAGCTGCCTTCATTGTGTAAGGTTTTTGAATAAATAATTATTTTGGGCAACGAGACAATGAGAAGACGTCACCGGGAAAACACCAGAGGAGAGAGATTTGACACAAAGGTCTTAATGTTTTGTTATTAAGTATTATTGTTTTGGTTCAAGATAATTACCCCCCGCTAGCTCAATGACGCACAATAGGAAAGTGCTCCAGACTAGAGACCAGAGAGACCAGAGAAAGACCAGAGAAAGACCAGAGAGAGACCAGAGAAAGAGCAGAAAGACCAGAGTGAGAGAACAGAGAAAGTTTAGAGAGAGAGACCAGAGAGAGAGACCAGAGAAAGACCAGAGAGAGACCAGAGAAAGACCAGAGAGAGACCAGAGAGAGAACAGAGAAAGTTTAGAGTGAGAGACCAGAGAGAGAGACCAGAGAAAGACCAGGGAGAGAGACCAGAGAAAGAGCAGAAAGACCAGAGAGAGAACAGATAGAGAAGAGAGAAAGTTTAGAGAGAGAGACCAGAGAGAGACCAGAGAGAGACCAGAGAAAGACCAGAGAGAGACCAGAGAAAGAGCAGAAAGACCAGAGAGAGAGACCAGAGAGAGAACAGAGAAAGTTTAGCGAGAGAGACCAGAACTATGGTAAGTGTATAATAATATACAATATACATTTTTACAAGGAAAGAGCAGTACTAGTAGTAAAGAGCACTGTCCCTGGTGTGACTTAAGCAAAAATATAATTAGTTTGCAGCTCCAGGACTAAACGTTGGTGATGAATGAGTGAGAGCGAGTGTGGACCCGTCTCCTCACGACTCACAGTTATGTGGTGAGAACAGTCCGTCTCAGCTGTTTCTGTGCATGTGCCTGTGTGGAGCTGATGTGAAGAGACGGTTTGGACGACTCAGCGTTTTAACACCACGACTCGGCACAAAAAAAACACATAAAAAACCTCTGAGGCTTTTCCTGCAGCGTCTGAGGAAAGTGGGTCACATTTAGATCATAGACTGAACTTAGATGGACACGGTGGAGAGAGCAGAGAGAGAGAGAGAGATAAGAGAGAGAGAGAGAGCAGAAAGAGAGAGCAGACAGAGACTAGAGAGACCAGAGAGAGAGACAGCAGTGAGAGAGCACAGAAAGAGCAGAGGGAGAGCGCAGAGAGAGCAAGCAGATAGAAAGAGCAGAAAGAGAGCAGAGAAAGAGACCAGAAAGCAACCAGAGACCAGAGAGAGACCTGAAAGAGACGAGAGAGAGAGTAGAGAGAAACTAGAGAGAGACCAGAGTGAGAACAAAGAGAGACGAGAGAGAGAGGCCATTGAAAGCATCCTCAGGACTGGAGCACAGAGATGGGACCAGATCTCGTCAGACCAGTTTCAAGATAATAATAATAATAATAATAATAATAATAATAATCATAATCATAATAATAATACGTTTTAATTATATATTGCCTCTACATGTAAAGTGCTCGTTGCCCATTCATCTGAAAGTGGTGGATGACATCACGGCTGGTCTATGACATCACGGCTGGTCTATGGTTCTGTTCCTGGTCCTGACAGGCCGTGTCTGGTGTCTCCATGAATCACACTGAGATCTGTGTGGAGCAACTGAATAGAGCTGTGATTGTGTCTGTGTCACATCAACTCAGATTCTAATGACGTCACAGACTGCAGGACGGAGAGACCCCCCCGGACAACAGAGACCCCCCTGACAACAGAGACCTCCAGGACAACAGAGACCCCCAGGACAACAGAGACCCCCCGGACAACAGAGACCTCCAGGACAAAAGAGACCTCCAGGACAACAGAGACCCCCAGGACAACAGAGACCTCCAGGACAACAGAGACCTCCAGGACAACAGAAACCCCCATGACAACAGAGACCTCCAGGACAACAGAGACCTCCAGGACAACAGAAACCCCCATGACAACAGAGACCCCCAGGACAACAGAGACCTCCAGGACAACAGAGACCTCCAGGACAACAGAGACCCCCAGGACAACAGAGACCCCCAGGACAACAGAGACCCCAGGACAACAGAGACCCCAGGACAACAGAGAGACCCCCAGGACAACAGAGACCCCCTGGACAACAGAGACCCCCCGGACAATAGAGACCTCCAGGACAACAGAGACCCCCAGGACAACACAGACCTCCAGGACAACAGAGACCTCCAGGACAACAGAAACCCCCATGACAACAGAGACCCCCAGGACAACAGAGACCCCCAGGACAACAGAGACCCCCAGGACAACAGAGAGACCCCCAGGACAACAGTCGTCTGGTCCCTCTCTGGTCTCTCGCTCTGGTCTCTCTCTCATGGTCTCTCTCTCATGGTCTCTCTCTCATGGTCTCTCTCTCATGGTCTCTCTCTCATGGTCTCTCTCTCATGGTCTCTCTCTCATGGTCTCTCTTTCTGGTCTCTCTTTCTGGTCTCTCTTTCTGGTCTCTCACTCTAAAAAAACATGGACAAAAGTAGAGTCTCTCTCACAGTTTGTCTCTGCTCCAGACAAGTTCAAAAGTCCTAAAGCTGAAGAGGATTTGAGGATCTGGGATGTCGTAAACACAGAGCACAAAGAGGGCATTTACTACAGAGCAGGAGCCTGTTTGGACCGGCCCCAAGCCTCACAGCTGGAGACATCACAACAACACCACAAACAACAGAACAAGCAGAAAACATGGATTTATTAAGCTGCTTTAATCATCACATACATGTAAGAGCAGAGTCTGTGTGTGTCTGATCGGTTAGCATGTAGTTAGCCTGTAGTTAGCATGTTGTTAGCCTATCGTTAGCTTCTCATTCGTTTTAGTGGCTTCTCGCTGGATGTAAACAGTGTGAATGGAGAGAGGAAGTGGAGGAGGCTCGTCTCAGTATCCTGCAACCTGATTGGATGAGAGGGTCTGAAGGGTTTGGCAGCTGTGAGTGAGAGTTTACGATTGAGCAACGCAAGGACAGAGAAAGGACATATTTGTTCTACTTCATATGTTTGTGTGTTTTTGAGCAGAGAGCAGAGAGAGAGCAGAGAGAGAGAGAGAGAGCAGAGAGGGACCAGAGAGAGACCAGAGAGAGAACAGAGAGAGGGACCAGAGAGAGATCGAAGAGAGAGATCGGAGAGAGACCAGAGAGAGTGATCAGATAGAGAGAGACCACAGAGACCCCCAAAGAGAGAGAGAGAGAGAGAGAGAGATCATTATATTTTAATAATTGCAGATTTTACTGTTTTGATGAGTTCTGAATCATCTCTGTCCATTTGAGAATGACGTTGTTGTGGAAAATGTGAGAATAAAGAGGAAGGATGATGGGACGGAGCAGCGGCAGCAGATTCAGTTCTGTCTTTGCCTAAATTTACTCTCACGCGTTCAGAGCGACACAAAACAACACAAAACATCCAGGCGTTTTTAGGAAGTGGAATGATGAGGACTGTGGAAAAACGTGATAGAAGTCTATGGTCTCTCTCTCTGGTCTCCCTTCTCTGGTCTCCCTTCTCCGGTCTCTCTCTCCGGTCTCTCTCTCCGGTCTCTCTCTCCGGTCTCTCTCTCCGGTCTCTCTCTCCGGTCTCTCGCTGGTCCCTCTCGCTGGTCCCTCTCGCTGGTCTCTCTATCTCTGGGCTCTCTCTGGGCTCTCTCTGGGCTCTCTCTGGGCTCTCTCTGGGCTCTCTCTGGGCCCTCTCTGGGCTCTCTCTGGGCCCTCTCTCTGGGCCCTCTCTCTGGGCTCTCTCTGGGCTCTCTCTTGGCACTCTCTGGGCTCTCTCTGGGCTCTCTCTGGGCTCTCTCTGGGCTCTCTCTGGGCTCTCTCTGGGCTCTCTCTTGGCTCTCTCTGGGCTCTCTCTGGGCTCTCTCTTGGGCTCTCTCTGGGCTCTCTCTGGGCTCTCTCTTGGCTCTCTCTTGGCTCTCTCTGGGCTCTCTCTGGGCTCTCTCTGGGCTCTCTCTGGGCTCTCTCTTGGCTCTCTCTTGGCTCTCTCTTGGCTCTCTCTTGGCTCTCTCTGGGCTCTCTCTGGGCTCTCTCTTGGCTCTCTCTTGGCTCTCTCTTGGCTCTCTCTTGGCTCTCTCTTGGCTCTCTCTTGGCTCTCTCTTGGCTCTCTCTTGGCTCTCTCTGGGCTCTCTCTTGGCTCTCTCTTGGCTCTCTCTGGGCTCTCTCTGGGCTCTCTCTGGACTCTCTCTTGGCTCTCTCTTGGCTCTCTCTTGGCTCTCTCTGGGCTCTCTCTGGGCTCTCGCTGGGCTCTCAGCATTGTGCCGTAACAAGAAGAATGAAGGCGTCTGATCAATACTTACAGACTTATAGCTCTCTTTATGCGTATACAGTCGATCTCTATATACTTATAGAGCTCATACATGTTTTTCATTTGGATTTTTGGATTTCAAGAATGTGTTTTGGGCCGTCCTGGTTTTGCAGCAGGTCAGCAGAGAAACTTGTAATGAGTGAGTGTGGGAGGTGAGGTGTAGGGTCAGAGGAGTCATGACCACGAGTGCTGACACCAACTGATGATCACTGAGATTAAATCTGATGACGCAGAAACTGACCAGTGTGAGGAGAGAGAGGAGGGAGAGGAGGGAGAGGAGGGGAGGAGAGAGGATAGAGGGAAGAGAGGAGTGGAGGAGAGGATAGAGAGAGGAGGGGAGGAGAGAGGATAGAGAGGGGAGAGAGGAGTGGAGGAGAGAGGATAGAGAGGAGAGAGGAGGGGAGGAGAGAGGATAGAGAGGGGAGAGAGGAGTGGAGGAGAGAGGATAGAGAGGAGAGAGGAGGGGAGGAGAGAGGATAGAGAGGGGAGAGGAGGGGAGGGGAGGAGAGAGGATAGAGAGGAGAGAGGAGGGGAGGAGAGAGGATAGAGAGGGGAGAGGAGAGAGGATAGAGAGGAGAGAGGAGGGGAGGAGAGAGGATAGAGAGGGGAGAGAGGAGTGGAGGAGAAAGAATAGAGAGGAGAGAGGAGGGGAGGAGAGAGGATAGAGAGGGGAGCGAGGAGTGGAGGAGAGAGGATAGAGAGGGGAGAGAGAGTGGAGGAGAGAGGATAGAGAGGAGAGAGGAGGGGAGGAGAGAGGATAGAGAGGGGAGAGGAGGGGAGGAGAGAGGATAGAGAGGGGAGAGAGGAGTGGAGGAGAGAGGATAGAGAGGAGAGAGGAGGGGAGGAGAGAGGATAGAGAGGGGAGAGGAGGGAAGGAGAGAGGATAGAGAGGAGAGAGGAGGGGAGGAGAGAGGATAGAGAGGGGAGAGAGAGGAGTGGAGGAGAGGATAGAGAGGAGAGAGGAGGGGAGAGAGAGGATAGAGAGGGAGAGAGGAGTGGAGGAGAGAGGATAGAGAGGGGAGAGAGGAGTGGAGGAGAGAGGATAGAGAGGAGAGAGGAGGGGAGGAGAGAGGATAGAGAGGGGAGAGAGGAGTGGAGGAGAGAGGATAGAGAGGGAGAGAGGAGTGGAGGAGAGAGGATAGAGAGGAGAGAGGGAGGGGAGGAGAGAGGATAGAGAGGGGAGAGAGGAGGGGAGGAGAGAGGATAGAGAGGGGAGGAGGAGAGAGGGGGAGGAGAGAGGGATAGAGAGGGGAGAGAGGAGTGGAGGAGAAAGGATAGAGAGGAGAGAGGGAGGGGAGGAGAGAGGATAGAGAGGGGAGCGAGGAGTGGAGGAGAGAGGATAGAGAGGGGAGAGAGAGGGAGTGGAGGAGAGAGGATAGAGAGGAGAGAGGAGGGGAGGAGAGAGGATAGAGAGGGGAGAGGAGGGGAGAGAGAGAGGAGAGAGAGGGGAGAGAGGAGTGGAGGAGAGAGGATAGAGAGGAGAGACGAGGGGAGGAGAGAGGATGGAGAGGGGGAGGAGGAGGGGAGGAGAGAGGATAGAGAGGGGAGAGAGAGGGAGTGGGGAGAGAGGATAGAGAGGAGAGAGGAGGGGAGGAGAGAGGATAGAGAGGGGAGAGAGGAGGGGAGGAGAGAGGATAGAGAGGAGAGAGGAGGGGAGGCGAGAGGATAGAGAGGGGAGAGAGGAGTGGAGGAGAGAGGATAGAGAGGAGAGAGGATAGAGAGGGGAGAGGAGGGGAGGAGAGAGGATAGAGAGGGGAGAGAGGAGTGGAGGAGAGAGGATAGAGAGGAGAAAGGAGGGGAGGAGAGAGGATAGAGAGGGGAGAGGAGGGGAGGAGAGAGGATAGAGAGGGGAGAGGGAAGAGAGGGAGGAGAGGAGAGAGAGAGACCTGGACTCACCGATCTGCTCCTCTGGGATCAGGCTCTCGATGGGCGGCTCCAGCTCAGAGCTCTGTCTCAGGTAACTCTTCATCTGAGTGAGGAACTGTCGGACCGTCTGCAGTAGCTCCGAGGCCGAGTCCAGACCCAGACCCAGACCTGAGGACCAGACCAAGGTCAGAACAGATTGCCCAAAATATTTATATATTTCTCCTCCCTCCACTCTCTCTCTCTGCTCTCTCTCTTCTCACTCTCTCTATCCTCTCACTCTCTCCTTTCTCTTCTCCCTCTCCTCTCTCTTCTCCCTCTCTTCTCCCTCTCCTCTCTCACTCTATATCCGCTCTCTCTATTCTCCTTCCGTCTTCCCACTCTCTCTCAAAATATCTCTCTCCTCTCTCTCTCTCCTCTCCTAGTCTCTCTTCCTTCTCCCTCCTCTCTCTCAAAAAATCTCTCTCTCTCTCCTCTTTGTCATAAAATCTCTCTCTCTCCCTCTCAGAATGCTGTCAAACTACATGGATAAAACATGAATCATTCTAGTAAAGATAAGCCCCTGACCTTGCTCCTGGCCCTGGTCGCTCATGTAGCCCAGGAAGTCCTGCACCAATCCCCCAAAGTACGTGCGTTTGTCCCGCGACAGCTCCAGCACGCGCCGCACGGCTCGCTTCTCCGGCGTCAGCAGCGAGTTGAACACGCCGCTCATCTTCCGCAGCTGCCCCTTCAAAGCCTTCTGTATGACCACGGCGCTCGCACTGCCCCTGTGCCTCCCCCCGCGGCGTCCCGGAGGCTCCATCGTCACGTCCTGGTCCTGCTCCTGCTCCTCCTGGTCGCTCTCCAGACTCACGCCATAGTCCTCCTCCTCGTAGTCCTCCTCCTCGTCCTCGTCGTAGTCCAGGCTGGTGCAGAACTGCGGCAGGGACATGGGCAGGTGCGCGTCAATCTCGGCCAGCGTGGGCGGCTTCGGGTCGTGCATCGGCGGGAAGAAGAACGAGGACGATTGGGAAAAGTCCAGAGAGTCCGAGGAGTCCGTGGAGAGACTCAGATCGCTCAACCTCTGTCCTCCGTTGCGGCCAGCATCCGTGACGTCCATCTGGCTCTCGCCGTCTTGCCTTCCGTTAGCATTAGCGTCTCCTGCCTCGTCCTTGTCTTTGCTCGTCCCGGTCCTCTGCAGCCTCACCCGCCTCAGCCGGGCCCGCCTCAGCGCCCTCTCGATGATGTGGTCCTCCATTGCCGCGTCCTCTTGGCTCGACGAGGAAGGTGACATTTGGAACACGCGCCGAGGAGACGAGGAGAAAGCCGCCAGGGACAACACCGCCGTCTGATTGGGGATGCTGATCGGCGAGCTGATGTGCGAGATCTTGGTCGGGGGCGAGCTGGACGGGCTGATGCTGAGGGAGGAGCTCAGGCGGGACAGGAAGCTCCCCTCTCGGTTTTTGCGGTCCCTTCCCTCGGGTTTCTCCTTCACCCACTGGACTTTCTCAGGCATGCTCTGAGCCCGCGAGAGCTTGGCGTTGAAGAATCGAGGAGGAGGAGGTCTGGGAGGACAAGGAGAACGCGGAGACTGGGATGTATCTTTGCTAAATTGGTCGAGTTTGGCATCCCCGTCGCCTCCCTCGGGGTCTGGGGTTGTTGCGATCTGGGAGGTCTCGCGGTCCTCGTGGTGGACTTTGACAAAGAGGGGGTTGATGAAGCAGAGCGCGCCGTTGGATTGGCTGCACTCGAGTTCGGAAGGAGTTCTCGTATAGATTTTCGGCAGGTTTAGAGGAGCGGAGATGGTGGAAATGGTCAAATCTGTGATTGTTTTGCTCGGAGGAGGAAGAGGAGGAGGGACAGAGGACGTTTTTCTCTTGCAGGTGTCCCAGAAACCTGAAGGAAACAAAGACCACATTCAGTTTCTTTCTTGATCCAGTGCTAAATGGTAATGCATTAGTATTATTTGCCCTTAAAGTTCCAGACTCTATTGTTCCATAAATTAAACATTTAGTTTGTTGTTTGTTAGTTAGTCTTGTAATAATCACTGGTTCTACTTCTAGCTTTCATATAAATGTAGGTTTGGCCTCTGTCACTTCTTAAGCTTTTTTTTCTTTTAGAGACCTGAGAGAGAGACCACAGCAGTTACCAGTTTTCACTTGTCATAGAAACTGCTCTCTCCCTCTGGCCTCTCTCCTTCTGCTCTCTCCCTCTGATCTGGTCTCTCCCTCTGGTCTCTCCCTCTGGCCTCTCTGCCTCTGGCCTCTCTGCCTCTGGCCTCTCTGCCTCTGGCCTCTCTGCCTCTGGCCTCTCTGCCTCTGGCCTCTCTGCCTCTGGCCTCTCTCCCTCTGGCCTCTCTCCCTCTGGCCTCTCTCCCTCTGGCCTCTCTCCCTCTGGCCTCTCTCCCTCTGGCCTCTCTCCCTCTGGCCTCTCTCCCTCTGGCCTCTCTCCCTCTGGCCTCTCTCCCTCTGGCCTCTCTCCCTCTGGCGTCTCTCCCTCTGGTCTCTCCCTCTGGTCTCTCCCTCTGGTCTCTCCCTCTGGTCTCTCTCTCCCTCTGGTCTCTTTATATTCTGTGAGGAAAAAGTTGAGTTGTGACAGGGTCAAGTCTAAAGTTGTGAAAGGGGCCAAAATCTAGGCATAAAAGTTTTAGATCCAGGAACTAGAGTCCTTGGTTTTAATACAGACTTCTATTGTTGTGGTGTGAAAGTTAGGTGCCTCAGCTTTAAACGGCTCTGTGTCCTCACGCTGCTGTGCTCTTCTGGTACAGTGTTTATTTTGGGCCGGTCCTGACTCACTCCTTCCCCCTCAGCGAGCTCACACTGACACTTACGGTCCGGATGAGTCTGAATGGCTCTGAATGGCACTGAAGGGGTTAATCCTATAATCTTTGGTGAACAGTAAACGGCCTGAGTCACCGTGGACGCCGACGCGGGGGAAGAGCACGTTCCAATCCGAGCTCCAGGTTGCGAGGGCGGAGCAGAAACGCTGACGAGGGAAAAGTTTAACCTACTCTGTAAAAACTGTTGTAGAGTTTTTACAGAGAAAGAGACTAGAGAGAAACCAAAGAAAGACCAGTGAGACTAGAGAGAGAACAGAGAGAGACCAGAGAGAGGGACCATAAAGAGACTAAAAAGAGAGACGACAAGAGAGAGAGACAAGAGGAAGACCAGAGAGAGACAAGAGGGAGACCAGAGTGAGAGAGAGAGACCAGAAAGAGACCAGAGAGGTTCTATCACCAGTTTTCACATGCATGTGTTTCTGCTCTGCTCAGCTTTTTAAGATTGAAAGTTAAAAGAAAGGTCCACCCTCACTCAGCCCAAAGAGTCCAAAAGTGACTCACAGGGATCTCTCTTACACAAGACTCTTTCTGTTGGTACAAACAACATGTGTTATTTAAGACGCAGAAAAGTCAGGTACCCCAGCTTTAATATGAAGTTATAGCTTTCATTTGGTCCACTGCACAAACTGTAGTGGATACAGTATCTGTGCAGCCTCAGTGTGGGACCCACTCCACAGAAAGACCATGTGTGTCATTACTGGTGTACCAGTGACGCCCAGAATCACAGTCTGGAGCCAACAGGTAATTATTACTCATTACAACTAAATAACTTCTACAATCATTATTAAAGTTCATGATCACTGCAACAACATGTGCCAGTCCTGGATCTACAGTCTCAGTCCTGGATCTACAGCCTCAGTCCTGGGTCTACAGCCTCAGTCCTGGGTCTACAGCCTCAGTCCTGGGTCTACAGCCTCAGTCCTGGGTCTACAGCCTCAGTCCTGGATCTACAGCCTCAGTCCTGCATCTACAGCCTCAGTCCTGGGTCTACAGCCTCAGTCCTGGGTCTACAGCCTCAGTCCTGCATCTACAGCCTCAGTCCTGGGTCTACAGCCTCAGTCCTGCATCTACAGCCTCAGTCCTGGGTCTACAGCCTCAGTCCTGCATCTACAGCCTCAGTCCTGGGTCTACAGCCTCAGTCCTGCATCTACAGCCTCAGTCCTGGGTCTACAGCCTCAGTCCTGGGTCTACAGCCTCAGTCCTGGGTCTACAGCCTCAGTCCTGGGTCTACAGCCTCAGTCCTGGCTGTCTTATAAAAGAGTGACTGTGATTCTCTACTGTTCATGCAGAAGAAGCACACGCACATTTTGAACACACAAAACTATATCACAAACGTCTCTATGTGTCTATTTTTACACAGATGTTTCTGATGCATTCTTTATGGAACAGTTTTATCCAGATTAACAACACAATCGTTCACAAATCCACAGATCTACTCCAAAACAATTGCAATTTTGTGAATGAATCCAAAGCCACTACCAAGTCTTTATCAAGTCTGCACGTTTAGAATACAATCTGGACCAACACAGAGCAGCAGAAGAGTTCAGAAATACAAGAATAGAACTAAAACCAGAGATAATGGGAGAGATATAGATATGTATCAAAGCAGGTCTTACTACTGAGCTGCAATGGTGTCAAAGATAAAGTATTAAAAACTTCTTAAATCCTTGCAGCAGCAGCAGCAGCAGTAGAACTCAGGTTTGCCTCCACTCACACTGTTTGTGCTGAGGCTGAGTCAGAGCTAAAGCCTCCACAGACTCCACCTCCTGCTCCTCCTCCTCCTCCTCACAGTCAGGGAGGAGGAAAGAGAGAGGAGTAATTACAGTCTAACTTAACCACAAAACGCCAATGAAAAACTCTTTGTTAAGAAGGATTATATATTGCTTCGGGTGGATGAGAAACTTGCTGTAGTCCATTATAATGTGATTCTCTCTGGTCTCTCTCTCTGGTCTCTCCCTCTGGTCTCTCCCTCTGGTCTCTCCCTCTGGTCTCTCCCTCTGGTCTCTCCCTCTGGTCTCTCCCTCTGGTCTCTCCCTCTGGTCTCTCTCTCTGGTTTGTCTGTGGACTCTCTCTCTGGTCTCTCTGTGGACTCTCTCTGTGGACTCTCTCTGTGGACTCTCTCTGGCCTCTCTCTCTCTGGTCTCTCCGTCTGGTCTCTCCCTCTAGCCTCTCTCTCTGCAGTCTCTCTCTAGCCTCTCTCTCTAGCCTCTCTCTCTGCCGCCTCTCTCTAGCCTCTCTCGCCTCTCTGCAGTCTCTCCCTCTAGCCTCTCTCTCTGGTCTCTCTCTCTGGCCTCTCCCTCTGGTCTCTCTCTCTGGCCTCTCCCTCTGGTCTCTCTCTCTGGCCTCTCCCTCTGGTCTCTCTCTCTGGCCTCTCCCTCTGGTCTCTCTCTCTGGCCTCTCCCTCTGGTCTCTCTCTCTGGCCTCTCTCTCTGGTCTCTCTCTCTGGTCTCTCCGTCTGGTCTCTCTCTCTAGCCTCTCTCTCGCCTCTCTGCAGTCTCTCTCTGGCCTCTCTCTCTAGCATCTCTATACATGCCTGTAAGCTGTACTCACCCAAACACAGCTCCATGGCTCATTACGCTGCTGTCATGATCATTTTTAAGACCTTCACCTGACGCACATGAACCCTGCAGGCCAATCTTCTCGACCGGCATCTGTCACCTCCCACTGCTTGCTCTTATCACTTCTGTAGATGTTCTGTCCGACTTTAAACGTTGGAAACTCTACAGACCGACACTGACGGCTGTGAACAGACCAGAAAAAACCCCACGTGCAGATGGCGTCAAGTTTATCTGCACTGTTCTGAGGCTTTGTCTGTAGAATGTAGAAGGACCAGACTGAGGCTGTGAGCGGGAACTGAGATCATACAAGTATTTATGGATGCCAAGCCTGAGATTAGCTGCAGCAGAAGACATGGGCAGGGTCTCAATCACCAGAAGCACCTTAATCAATATGTGGTGAGGGGGGTTTCCTCCAGGCGCTCGTGGTTTCCCCATCCTACGTACCCTACCCACCAGTCCTATTTGTGACTTCCAAACCACAACGGCAGAACTATGCAATAACATCCATGTCACTAGTTAAAAGCAAACTGTGAAAATGCTCGGTGAAAAGACAAGGTCGCAAGGCGGGTTGAAGGCCCAGTCTGGGCTTTTGCTCAATGGGAAAAGTTCTATTGATACTCTTCCCCCAGTTATGAATGGAAGCCAAACACTGGAGTCGTATTGTGTCTGACTGATGTCCAGAGAATGCAGTGTGTGTGTGTGTGTGTGGGGTGATCTTTTGTCATTGCTGTACTATTGAAAGAGTGTTTTTTGTCAAAGTCTGAGTCATGGTTCACGTTGCTCTCTCATGCTGTGGATCTGTTTCATTCATAAAGTTTCCTCTTTGTTCAAACCAGCGGAAAAGACACATGCATCTATTATTGTCCTATGAGAGAGAGACCAGAGAGAGAGAGACACACAAGAGAGACCAGAGAGAGAGACCAGAGAGAGAGACACATGAGAGACCAGAGAGAGAGACCAGAGAGAGAGAGAGAGACACATTAGAGACACATCTCACTTGCAAGTAGGTAGTAAATAATCTTCATACATATAGTACCTACCTTACTCTACCCTACTTTTCTCTCTCTCTCTCTCATCCTCCCCATGGCAAAACCAAAACGCTGACACAGGTCCAAATGACATGCCAACCTTTCTCACAGCTGTCGACGCAGCGCTTACAACACTCCTCAGAAAAAATGACAACATCTTTTAGCTTTTAATTTGGTCGAAGGATTTATGAGAGAAACTCAGTCCAGCTCTGGGATTGTTTAGGACCAGAGAATGTTCGTGTGAGACTGAATCATTCCGGAGTTTCCTCGTTAAATTTCTTTATGACTTGACGAGCGCCAGAACCCAAAATTGCAGCAGATGTGAAGAGAACATGCAACAAACCAAATCTTTAAACAGAGACTTAGATTGAGAACGATAACTAAAACACATTGGGCTCACAAACGGTTCTAAAGAAAAAAAAAATGTTCTTCTCTTTATCACAAGGATTTTACAAAAATTGTGGCATTCATGATTTTTTTCTCTGAGGTAAGAACAAATCCTGCAAACACTCAGGAGCCTCTTAAACACATTCAGTGCGGATATGTTGGTGCTGGTGTTGTCTACTTTTGTTAAGTTCAATTAAATTTAATTCCTTTCAAATGAAATGTGCCAACGCTTTATCAAAAACATTGGTTATCATGCCGTTAAATAGCGACCCCTATTTAAAGGCAAGGCAAGTTTATTTTGAAGCAACTCAAAGTGCGGAACAAAGGGGGGACTCTAATGCTTCGTCGTAACTCTTTGCTTCAGGCATGTTGCGGTCTCCTGAGTGGCGTCTGCACACGGCCCTGCAGTCCCTTTTTTGGGCATTTATGGGCGGTTACCTATGCTAATGAATCACCGGGCATGCACGCTCTACTTACGAGGAGATGGCGTTCATCAATTTAAGAGAATAGCCGCGAACAATTCAGCGGCTTATGAGCGCGTTGATGAATCCCACGTAGGGTCTTCTTAGAAATCTACTTAAGAACAACTTTTAAGAAGATTCTTAAGAAAATATTGGTGAATGAGGCCCATTCTTGGTGACTCTACTATACCCCTCCCTACACCCCCACCCCACCCCACCCTATTCTACCCTACCCTACTCGCCGCCAAGCACAAGCCACTGATTTGATTACGCCGCCATCTTGGATTGCCGGGGCTTTGGCAAAGCAGGCAATCAACAAAACAGGAAAAAAAAAATCACAAAGAACACATCAGAAACTGTACTCTCCCCAAGGAGAGTTTGCAGTGGGATACAGAGCTAAACAGATCCTCATGGAGGAACCCAAGAGTAAGGAACATAAGAGTACAGAAACAGAAAGTCTCTGTTTGGTCCAATTCTGTTTCAACTATTGAAGCAGGTGCAGAATTGTTCATACAGTTTTAGGATGTATTCATTTGCTTTGCATAGAAATGAATGAATCGGACCACTCTGCTCCTGTGTGATGTCGGTTCCTTTCTTGTCGAGTTGAACTGCTGCATCCGCGTCCTGTGACTAACTCGACAACTTAGATAACATTTATTATTTCCATTATCAACGAGACAGAAAATTGTTAAGCTATCAGCTGTCTCGTTAGCCAGAGGCGATCCAATGATTATTTTAATGCAAAACTAATGCATATTATTTCTTCTTTAAATTCTCCAAACTTGAATGAGATCAGAAGCTGCAGGATTATCTCAGGGGCGAGACACTGTAGTCTAGAGCTGCATCTTAGAGCTGCATCTTAGAGCTGCATCTTAGAGCTGCATCTTAGAGCTGCATCTTAGAGCTGCATCAAATGCCGCGTTCAGACCGGATCATGCGTTGCGTCGGCTTTCAATGCAAAGTCAATGGTGACGCGCGTTTGAGCGTCAAAACGCATGAATGTCTCGGAATGCACGCACGAACCGCGCTGGGATGTCGAAGGGGAGGAACGCAGGAGATGGATTTTGCTCAACCTTTCCTCGGGACGCTCGTGCAGTGACCAATCAGAGAGCCGCAAACTGGTCACGGGGACATTAGCGGTCTGAGCGAGCAGACTGAACATACTATTAACAGCCAAAACAGGAGCTACATCAGGACAAAACCAGTGTTGACAAAGGGGCACTCTGTGCTTGTGAATCTATGCATTGTCTTGCTCCCGTGACTTTATGCAACTGCTTCGAGTGTGTTCGCCGATGCAGAAATACCGTTTAATAATAAAATAAACGTATTGCGCACCTCCATGAACACATACTGCTGTTATATAAAGCCTGTGGAAAGTCTCTGTTCAAAGACACGCTGAAAAGCTGCATTATTGGAGAAGCCAGGCTCGCGCCAGGACCTCTGGTCTGAAGACCGCTGCGTCTGAAAACTAGAGAATGTGCGTTTCAGCGTTGCCGGTCTGAAAGCACCATTAGAGCTGCAGAAACGAGCTGTGTCTTGAGACCAATTCACTGAATTCACTGAATGCTGACTGTTGTGCCCTCTAAATGTGCGTTATTTTGTCTTAAATTGGGTTTAGCGATTTTATTTTGAAGGGCTATCTGGAGACAGGAAGCAATCTTATTTTGAAGGCTAGCTGAGGGATCCAGACAGGAAATCGGCCATTTTAGTTGTTTTGGAGTTCAGCACATCTCCTCACAGTCATCCAGTGCCATCTGCGGATATTGTTGTCTTTTTGACATCATTGTCTGTAAGTTTCTTTTTGTATAGTCCTGTGTTAGAATTTTGTAACCATATTTGGGTTTGAAGTGTGTTTAAGTTTAAGTATTTAAGTATAAGTTTGAGTATTGTATGAAACTAGATGTAGCATTGATCCATATGTGCCTCTGCTTTTGAGTCTATTTTTGTCATAGTTGACTTTAGCATATTTTTACACAATAGTAAGAATGTTTATCTTTTCTTTTACAGTTTTACTCTGTTTTGGAGACAATTAAAAGGAGCTTGGACGCTACTTCCTGACTTGTCTTTTCAGAAGGAGTTAAGCCTAGCGTACATCGGACTGGCAACTGATTATATCCGTCGCCTATGAGTTGCTGCCCCGCACACATCGACAATCTGACGAAAACGGGCAACTCCCAGTAGCAGACCAGTCTCGGGAATAACAGCGCGTACATCGACAGCAACTGGCCTCAACTACAGTGTGTTTTCTGACATAAACTGTTGCGGGCGCGCAATACACGCAATACACACACGTTGTCGGAGCGGCGCATGGAGCGCGCACATCGGGTCATATCTCCGAAACTGAGGACAACTAGTTGCTGAAAAGTAGAACACGGGCAACTGACTGAAACTGGAGACCGACTGTTCATATCCAGTTGTAAGAGCGCTCACATCGACCGATTTCGGCAACTGATCATCTCCCACCATCTCCTCTCAGTTGCCAAAAGCCGCCTTGCAACTAGTTGTCTCCAGTTTCTCTGTCGATGTACGCTAGGCTTTAGGCTAACTGCTGAATTGTGTTAGATACACACAAATGAGAGCAGGATATTGACTCTGTGTGTGACTCACAAACCAAACAGAACAGAAACAAACTGTAATCACACAGATCACACAGAGAGAGAGAGAGAGATAAAAAATAGAGGGAGAGAAAAGAGAGAGGAAGAGAAAAGAGAGAGGGAGAGAAAGAGACAGAAGGGGAGAGAGAAAGGGAGAGAGAGAGAGAGAGATAGAAAGAGAGACAGAGAGAGGGAGAGAGAAAGAGACACAGAGAGAGACCAGAGCCACAGCCACATTCCTGACGCCAGCTCATGTCCTCAGTGCTGAGTGTCTGTGGACTCACCTGGTCCCTGTTTGGAGATATGGTCCAGTTCGGTCCTGGTCCGAGCGGAGGCGATCGGCTCTGGGAGTTTTAATATGAACGGCAAAACGTCTCTGCGGCAACAGGAAGTTACGAGTTATAAAAACAGGAAGTTAGTTATAAAAACAGGAAGTTAGAGTTATAAAAACAAGAAGTGAAAGATAAAAAAACAGGAAGTCAAAGTTAAAAGAACAGGAAGTCGGAGTTATAAAAACAGGAAGTCAAAGTTAAAAAAAACAGGAAGTCTGAGTTATAAAAACAGGAAGTTAAAGTTAAAAAACAGGAAGTTAGAGCTCTTTGATCGGAGTCCTCACCTGCTGATGCAACAGAAGGCAACAAGGCGAAACACGTCTGCGAATCTGAGAGCGGAGTCCTCCAGAGAGAAGGCTGCGGAGAACAGGACAGCACAGGTAAACGCAAGGCAAGTTTATTTGTATCGCACACTTCATACACAAGGCGGAGTGCTGAACAAAACAAGACAGCATTAAAATCATAAATTAAAGCCGCAAGCGGCGATGAAAGGCCTCGCCCCTATTGCGACCGCCTCCTGAGCGCCGGTCCCACAAGCGTCACGCCGACGAATTGGCAGCCCGATCTGATCAGGATTACGTATATAAAAGTTCATTAATATGAAAAAGTGCGTCCCTAGTGGTCACCTCCGGGACATGCACCCTCTACGTAGAGTAGTATTTTGCTCGTACAGATTTTGCAACTTTGGTGAAGATCGGAAAAGTTTAGGTCAGAAGCCTTCCATAGGTGGCGCTGTAGAGTCATATTAGGTGTGTGTTTTCACACCATTACTCTCAGGTCATTACCAACTGTTAGTGATGTGAGTTTCAGCTCTGTAGGTCTGAGCCTGTGGTCAGGAGAGCATCAAACATGGAGAAATTCCCCACTACCTCGCATGAAAACGATAACAAAATTCTAACTTTTATGCGATGATTGCATAACTTCAATCCGTCCAGATGGAGAAATGACATGGTAGAAGTCTGTGCGATGAAAATCCAGGGACTAGTACGAAGCCAAAAATGCGACACCTTGAACTGCCTGTAGGTGGCGCTGTTGCACTCACAGTTGTGTGTTGTATATCGTTGTGTTCAGGGTCATACGCTGTATTACTGAATTCATTTTTAGCCTCATCGGACAAACATTTTGTCCCAAAAAGCTCATTTATTCACTTTCCGGCGCCCCCAGTGGTCAGGTGTGGGACGTACAACTTATGCGTAATGTAATGTTTTGCTCGTCTCGGTCCAGAGAATACACTCAGCGATTTTCGGGCCGATCCGAGCACTAGTGCCCTATTACTTTCCGACAGGTGGCGCTAAAGAGCTCATATTGGGCGAATGATTTTAGTGTCATTGCGTTCAGACCATAACCTAATATGACTGATGTGAGTCTCAGCTCTGTAGGTCTGAGCCTGTGGCCCTCAGGGCTCAGCGAAAATGGCCAAAACGAAGGCCTTATTCGCCATGGCGAGGGAAGAAAACGGTGAAGATTTTCTAACTTTTTTTTGATGATTATATAACTTCAATCCGTCCAGATTGGGAAATGACGTGGTAGAACTCTGTGTGATGAAAAACCAGGGACTAGTTCGAATTTCTAAATGAAAAGTCAAATTAGTGGCAAAACTTCGGCCCATCATGGCCGACTTCCTGTTGGTCCCAGACATGTGCTTAGACCGGCTTTTATGCTCGTCTCATAGAGATCTATCACTCAGCCGAATTTCGTGTACCTACTCCAAAATATGCAATCCTGCCTCCAATAGAAATGGCAAATTTTGAATTTTCAAGGGGGCGCTATTGATTCGCCTTTTGTCGGACAATCTCGAAACGTCCGTTTTATCAAATGTTTCGCCGAACCGGTCGTTTTAGACCCCCCATGTGCAGACTTTTGTGCATGTCTTCAGGGTCAAAAATCGAATTGTTTCGGCGGTAAAAGAATAATAATTAAAGCCGCAAGCGGCGATGAAAGGCCTCGCCCCTCTTGCGACCGCCTCCTGGGCGCCAGTCCCACAAGCGTCACGCCGACGAATTGGCAGCCCGATCTGACCAGGATTACGAATATAAAAGCTCATTTATATGATAAAGTGCGTCCCTAGTGGTCACCTTCGGGACATGCACCCTCTACGTAGAGTAGTATTTTGCTCGTACAGATGTAAAAATCTGATTTTGCAACTTTGGTGAAGATCGGAAAAGTTTAGGTCAGAAGCCTTCCATAGGTGGCGCTGTAGAGTCATATTAGGTGTGTGTTTTCACACCATTACTCTCAGGTCATTACCAACTGTTAGCGATGTGAGTTTCAGCTCTGTAGGTCTGAGCCTGTGGTCAGGAGAGCATCAAACATGGAGAAATTCCCCACTACCTCGCATGAAAACGATAACAAAATTCTAACTTTTATGAGATGATTGCATAACTTCAATCCATCCAGATTAGAAAATGACGTGGTAAAATTCTGTGCGATGAAAATCCAGGGACTAGTACGAAGCCAAAAATGCGACACCTTGAACTGCCTGTAGGTGGCGCTGTTGCACTCACAGTTGTGTGTTGTATATCGTTGTGTTCAGGGTCATACGCTGTATTTCTGAATTCATTTTTAGCCTCATCGGACAAACATTTTGCCCCAAAAAGCTCATTCCTTTACTTTACGGCGCCCCCAGTGGTCAGGTGTAGGACTTACAACTTTTGCGTAATGTAATGTTTTGCTCGTCTCGGTCCAGAGAATACACTCAGCGATTTTCGGGCTGATCCGAGCACTAGTGCCCTATTACTTTCCGACAGGTGGCGCTAAAGAGCTCATATTGGGCGAATGATTTTAGTGTCATTGCGTTCAGGCCATTACCTAATATTAATGATGTGAGTCTCAGCTCTGTAGGTCTGAGCCTGTGGGCCTCAGGGCTCAGCGAAAATGGCCAAAACGAAGGCCTTATTCGCCATGGCGAGGGACGAAAACGGTGAAGATTTTCTAACTTTTTGTTGATGATTATATAACTTCAATCCATCCAGATTAGGAAATAACGTGGTAGAACTCTGTGTGATGAAAAACCAGGGACTAGTTCGAATTTATAAATGAAAAGTCAAATTAGCGGCGAAACTTCCGCCCATCATGGCCGACTTCCTGTTGGTCCCAGACATGTGCTTAGAACGGCTTTTATGCTCGTCTCATAGAGATCTATCACTCATCCGAATTTCGTGTACCTACTCAAAAATTTGAAAAAAAATCCCCAGAGGGTCAAAAAAAATGAAATTTCTAGGGGGCGTTATAGAGTCGGCGAGCGTCGGACAATCTGGAAACGTTCATTTTATCAAATTTTTCGCCGAACCGGTCGTTTTAGACCCCCCATGTGCAGACTTTCGTGCATGTCCTCAGGGTCAAAAATCGAATTGAAGTTGCGGAAAAAAAATAAGAAAAAGAATAATAATTAAAGCCGCAAGCGGCGATGAAAGGCCTCGCCCCTCTTGCGACCGCCTCCCGGGCGCCAGTCCCACAAGCGTCACGCCGACGAATTGGCAGCCCGATCTGACCAAGATTACGAATATAAAAGCTCATTAATATGATAAAGTGCGCCCCTAGTGGTCACCTTCGGGACATGCACCCTCTACGTAGAGTAGTATTTTGCTTGTACAGATGTAAAGATTTGATTTTGCAACTTTGGTGAAGATCGGAAAAGTTTAGGTCAGAAGCCTTCCATAGGTGGCGCTGTAGAGTCATATTAGGTGTGTGTTTTCACACCATTACTCTCAGGTCATTACCAACTGTTAGCGATGTGAGTTTCAGCTCTGTAGGTCTGAGCCTGTGGTCAGGAGAGCATCAAACATGGAGAAATTCCCCACTACCTCGCATGAAAACGATAACAAAATTCTAACTTTTATGCGATGATTGCATAACTTCAATCCGTCCAGATGGAGAAACGACATGGTAGAAGTCTGTGCGATGAAAATCCAGGGACTAGTACGAAGCCAAAAATGCGACACCTTGAACTGCCTGTAGGTGGCGCTGTTGCACTCACAGTTGTCTGTTGTATATTGTTGTGTTCAGGGTCATACGCTGTATTACTGAATTCATTTTTAGCCTCATTGGACAAACATTTTGCCCAAAAAAGCTCCTTCATTCATTTTTCCGGCGCCCCCAGTGGTCAGGTGTAGGACCTACAACTTTTGCGTAATGTAATGTTTTGCTCGTCTCGGTCCAGAAAATACACTCAGCGATTTTCGGGCCGATCCGAGGACTAGTGCCCTATTACTTTCCGACAGGTGGCGCTAAAGAGCTCATATTGGGCGAATGATTTTAGTGTCATTGCGTTCAGGCCATAACCTAATATTACTGATGTGAGTCTCAGCTCTGTAGGTCTGAGCTTGTGGCCCTCAGGGCTCAGCGAAAATGGCCAAAACGAAGGCCTTATTCTCCATGGCGAGGGACGAAAACGGTGAAGATTTTCTAACTTTTGTTTGATAATTATATAACTTCAATCCGTCCAGATTAGGAAATGACGTGGTAGAACTCTGTGTGATGAAAAACCAGGGACTAGTTCGAATTTCTAAATGAAAAGTCAAATTAGTGGCGAAACTTTGGCCCATCATGGCCGACTTCCTGTTGGTCCCAGACATGTGCTTAGACCGGCTTTTATGCTCGTCTCATAGAGATCTATCACTCAGCCGAATTTCGTGTACCTACTCCAAAATATGCAATCCTGCCTCCAATAGAAATGGCAAATTTTGAATTTTCAAGGGGGCGCTATTGATTCGCCTTTTGTCGGACAATCTCGAAACGTCCGTTTTATCAAATTTTTCGCCGAACCGGTCGTTTTAGACCCCCCATGTGCAGACTTTCGTGCATGTCTTCAGGGTCAAAAATCTAATTGTTTCGGCGGAAAAAGAATAATATGAAACCAGCGAATAACAATTTTCATTAAAGCCGCAAGCGGCGATGAAAGGCCTCGCCCCTCTTGCCACCGCCTCCTGGGTGCCAGTCCCACAAGCGTCACGCCGACGAATTGGCAGCCCGATCTGACCAGGATTACGTATATAAAAGCTCATTTATATGATAAAGTGCGTCCCTAGTGGTCACCTCCGGGACATGCACCCTCTACGTAGAGTAGTATTTTGCTCGTGCAGATGTAAAGATTTGATTTTGCAACTTTGGTGAAGATCGGAAAAGTTTAGGTCAGAAGCCTTCCATAGGTGGCGCTGTAGAGTCATATTAGGTGTGTGTTTTCACACCATTACTCTCAGGCCATTACCAACTGTTAGCGATGTGAGTTTCAGCTCTGTAGGTCTGAGCCTGTGGTCAGGAGAGCATCAAACATGGAGAAATTCCCCGCTACCTCGCATGAAAACGATAACAAAATTCTAACTTTTATGCGATGATTGCATAACTTCAATCCGTCCAGA